AAAGCTGAATCATGATAAGACATTTATTCTGACCCTCTGTGTACACTTCAACAGTAGATGTGCACAATGCCCACAGCAGATAGAAAATTTTAAAGTTATTATCTGTGAAAACATAATTTTTATTCACCAATAATTGGGTATGTTTTGTGTTCATCTTGTTCAAAAAGAAGATTCATCAAACTTTACAGCTTCATACAATTTTTATTTTAAGTAAGGAAATCAGTGTGGAGGAAAAACGGGGGCAGGAAAAATTTGATGAAGCTATGAGATAAGACTGGCAAACAGAACACAGCCCACTAAGATACTGTATGCTGGGTAGGGCAGACCACAAACCTAGCTCTGAGCATTCTGGCAGCCAAGGGTGAAAAAAGAGAAACATGACCAGTTCCATGACTCACAGTGTCCACATGATAATTTTTCATAGGACTAAAACCTGAAGTAACCTATACCTAGGCCCTCCAACACTCATATTCACATACTTCCTTTCAGAATTAAATTTCTTTAATAGCCAATTTCACTTTGCACCCCTTGCCTATAACATGTATTTTAAGATAACAGATAATATATCTTCATTATTTGCTTTAAAAGAAATAAAACTGTTATTTGTATTTAGTATGCTATTGTGCACAAAGCCTCAGGGTCCAGAGAATGGCTCGTGCATCAGGCAGCAATGACAGAACACCATGGTCACTGTTTTAAGACTTCACAAAAAAGATGTTCATGTTGATATTTTCTTGGACTGAAAATCTATAGCTGTGGCTTTTCCTGACTACATCATCTGCCATGTGTTTAAATCGTAAAATATATTTGTAGAACATGATGACTGATTCAACACAGTAAATTTTCCTGAATTTTTTGAAGACAAATTGACACTAAAAATAATCATGGGTACAATACAGGTATTACCTGGGCTGCTCAGCAGCAGCAAAAGCAGCCATACCATTTATGAAGCACTTACTAAATGTCCAGGGTTAGTCTATATACTTTATATACATACCTGCAATCTTCAAAATAGTTTAAGAATGTTAGTATTAACTGCATTTTACAGATGAAGGGAAAAAAATGAAGATCATTAAAATAGCAAATATCTTTGTTTTTAAATGTTGTATTATACATGTTCAACAATTCACAAAAGTTGAGATTATACTATAATCTAACATATTCCACCAAGATTCAACTAAAGATTTTCCCAAATTTCCTTTATCTACCATTTTTTGATTAAGTTTTTTATAGAAGACTCTAGTCATATAATTTAACCCCTATATTAGTACACCATTTTTTAAAAATAAAGACAGATCCTTATTTAATCCAATGCCAAAACTAAGCCCAACAAAGTCAATGATAATTTCTTGGAATCATCTAATAGTTACTTTGGAGTCACAAGTCAAATACCCCAAATTTTCTCTAAGTCTTTTTACAGTTGGTTTGTTCAGATTAGGATCCAAAGAAAATCCACACATTTAATTATTTCTCTTGAGTTTTCCACACCTCTTTTTTCCCTATCTCTGGTTGCTGTAAAAGAAAATGACTCTTTTGAGGCATGATTCACATATCATAAAATTCACACTTTTAAAGTGTATAATCTTAATATATTCACAAGACCATGCAAAAATCATCACACTATGTAATTCCCAGCACTATGTAATTTGCTGTAAGTTTTGTCACACTAAAAAGGAACCAGCACACATTAGCAGTTACTGCCCATTCCCCACTCCCAGGCTATGGCAACCATTAATCTACTTTCTGTCTCATTGAATTCTTCTATTCTGGACCTTTCATATAAATGAAATCACAAAAGCAAATGTGTTTTGAGTGTCTATCAGATTAGGTACCACTGACATATATAGATAGGTACCAAAAATACATACGACATAATTCCTGTCGATAACAGATAGTCAACAAATACCAACACATTATATTTGCCATATAAATACTACATTATGAATGCTCTAAACTCATGGTTTTTATCTTTCACCTTACAAATATACATAGGAGAAACAAAATTCATGTATGTGACATACTAATGGGTTACCTACATGTGACAGAAAGTCCATTTTACTGCTGCACACAATTCCCACAATAACTAACAGTTAACCAAAAATGGTAGTTCACCATAATGGTGGCTTACTGCCTGTCTTTACAACTCCCAGCTTCCTCTCAATCTCAGAAAAGCATACCAGAATGCAAGTTGAAGAAATAGAGATAACATGTATTTTTACATTTATTTTTAGTATATCATTCACACACTTTAGCACTTTTTAAGGAAGGAAGTAAAGAGCGAGTGGTTAAGGGAAAAGCCCCCAGAATGCACATATTCTACAGGGTCAGACTTGTACACCCCTTTACCACATAACAGCCGTGTGACCTTCAGCAATGATTTAATCTCTAAGTCTCAGTTTCCCTGTGTGTCAAATGGAGATACTAATGACTGCTTTCAAGATTTAACATAAAACTCTTATGAAGAAAAGCTGCTTACTAAATGTTGGTTAGTGGCAATAATACTTATGGTCATTTCACTATTTTTAACAAATCACATATGCCACTTCACAACTGACAGAGCCACTTCCGTTTGCAGCTGTCAGCATGTGTGAGACTGACCACCAGAGAGGAACAGATAAAGTAGCTCAACTGTCCCCACCCCGGCATATTAACATTGAAGGGAAATAATAACCTGAACTTGGAGAATTTGAAACTCAGAAACATTAAGATAACTGACTCGTTATTCCCCTGTCTCAAGATCCCCACCAGACCTCACCACCAACTCTACAAAGCTACTTACGGGCTGAGAAGAGCACAGCTATTAGAAATGTCCATCACCATCAGGCTTTCCTTTCCGGTATGCTGGAGACAGAAACCACCTCCCAAGACAACCTTCCCTTGCCTGTGCTCTAGGCTCCCTGTCATACCCAGGATTCCTAACCCTCTGCCTTGGATCTCTCTCATGTGCATGGTTACCTTTCCTTTATACTAATTATCACTATACTATTTGTTCACTATCATAAAATCATTTTTCCTGGCAATAACAGACTTAGGCAATATTTATTGAAGGTTAAGTCTTAAGGAAGAAGATTATATCAGTAAAATTTTATTCTTTTGCCTCATGATCCTAGGCAATAAGCTTTCTCTTCAGCCTCTATCTACTCATAGGGCTCAATATAGCATGGAGAAGAGAGGATGGTGTCCTCATCCTCTTTTAGTTTAGGAGCTAAAGTGAAACAACATACAATGGGTGCTTCGGAAACTCCATGAGAACTGCAGACATCTATTCCTTAGGGAACATGGACCATCTACCTTTGAGGAACAGAAAATGCCTCTGCTCCCCACAATCTGTCCCACAGCAGAGACCCAAGGGAGCAGAGTTAGGAATTACAACACTCCCAGGAATTTCCAGGGTGGCGGGGGTTGCAGAGAGGGGCACAGCCCCGCTGAAGACATTCATGGCCCAAAGTCAAAGAGCTAATACATAATATACAGTCTAACATTAGAGGGTGAGCCTTCTAGACTTGAAATAACTAACTGGTACCTAACCCAGAAGTGAAGTGCCCCCCAAATTACTACCAATTACAGCAGAATATTATGTAACATTTAAAAAAGAATGAAAACTAGTACAGCTGCTATGGAAAACAGTGTGGAGATTTCTTAAAAAACTGGAAATAGAACTGCCATATGACCCAGCAATCCCACTTCTGGGCATACACACCGAGGAAACCAGATCTGAAAGAGACACGTGCACCCCAATGTTCATCGCAGCACTGTTTATAATAGCCAGGACATGGAAGCAACCTAGATGCCCATCAGCAGACGAATGGATGAGGAAGCTGTGGTACATATACACCATGGAATATTACTCAGCCATTAAAAAGAATTCATTTGAATCAGTTCTAATGAGATGGATGAAACTGGAGCCCATTATACAGAGCGAAGTAAGCCAGAAAGATAAAGACCATTACAGTATACTAACACATATATATGGAATTTAGAAAGATGGTAACGATAACCCTATATGCAAAACAGAAAAAGAGACACAGATGTATAGAACAGACTTTTGGACTCTGTGGGAGAAGGTGAGGGTGGGATGTTTCAAGAGAACAGCATCGAAACATGTATATTATCTAGGGTGAAACAGATCACCAGCCCAGGTTGGATGCATGAGACAAGTGCTCGGAGCTGGTGCACTGGGAAGACCCAGAGGGATTGGGCGGAGAGGGAGGTGGGAGGCGGAATCGGGATGGGGAACACATGTAAATCCACGGCTGATTCATGTCAATGTATGACAAAACCCACTACAATATTGTAAAGTAATTAGCCTCCAACTAAAAACAAAAAAAAGAATGAGTAAGGACATGTATACTGATGAAAATATCAAGATACAGAAGAGTATCTGTGGGTATTCACATATTGTTTTTAAAAAACAAAAACAAACTAGACAGAGATACTTCAGTCTTACCAGTAGTCCTCTAAAATGTAGAATCTGGAGAGTAGAGAGAAAGAAAATGGAGAATTTCCCTTTTTATTTTACTTCCCTCTGAAGAGTCTAAATTTGTTATGAATTAATGATAAAAACACCTGCTGGAGATTTGCCAAAATATGAAATAATTTTTTTTTAATCAGCCTAAGTAATGTCTCTTTATAAACAATTCAACATCTGGCATTAATATGTATCAATACACATGAACAGAAAAGCCATCTAAATTAGAGGACCTGCATTATTCAAGAAGCATAAACTGCTATGTAAGATAAATAGAAAAACAGATTAGCTAAGTTTGATTTGACCACTTGATCAGATTTATCAGAAATTTTACCTGCAAAACATTTAAAAATCGAGAATTAAGATAATGCAAGAATAAAATGTCTTTTTCTAACTTTTTCTTTGGTCATGAGAAACAGGAAGGCAAATCATAAAACAGAAATCCATGCATCTCTTGGAAAAATTCTGGTATATTTAGGGTATAAATCTGGTTGTCTTCTCTATGTATTGAAAAAGCATCAATGTTTCTTACCTGATCACAGATCAGTTCCCACTTTTTCTCGTTGTCATACTGCCGCAGCAACCTGGCTTTGTCAGGGGGTAGGTTCATAGCATTCTGTAAGGGAAAAAAAAAAAAAATATGTCACATCTCATAACAAGAGTAACAGATCGCTCATGGGCAGGCCAAAGAATACTACTGTGGTTCTTTAATGGCTTCAGCTCCTAGCATCTGATGAAACAGAAACACCCTACACAGGTCATTTAAATATCAAATTGCTTGAATGGGAGGAGACAGTCTCTGAAGTCCTATATTGGGACACTGGGGTGGTCTGCTCTGAACTACAGACTTTCATTTCAGCAAAAGTAATTACTTCTTCACTTAATAGCAGGCTCTCAGTCTTCTCAACAAAGCACCAGGGGTTATTGAGAAGGTACTGTCCCAATTTTCTTTTCCAGGCATAAGAGTCTTCCATTTTGAACAGGGGGAACTTGATTTTGTTATATCCTTATCAAAATTTGCTCCCAATTCCTTTTGAAGTACTACAGCCCCACCAGACACAGAACAGAAAACACTAAAAGAAAACTCAACAAACAGAACCATTGACAGATAACGTCACCTTTGACTCGCTTTGATAGACTATGAGTAAAGAAACAGATGAAAGAAGAGAACAATGCAACTGGTTTTTGTCCCCTCTGTGAGATGACAGCACTCCTTCATGACACAGGTTAATATCAGTAACCTCTCCTCTCAGTTTAGCTGAGGAGTGGGGTTTGCAATGAGAAATGGATCGTGAGCTAAAAGATGTCGAGACATCAGACTTCATGAAACCCTCCTCCATTAACAGAGCACACTTTCTATAGTGTTGATGGTGATTTTCCCAGGGCTTCCCTGGTGGCTCAGTCAGTAAATGCAATGCAGGAGACCTGGGTTTGATCCCTGGGTTGGGAAGACACCCGGGAGGAGGGCATAGCTACTCACTCTAGTATTCTTGCCTGGAGAATCCCCATGGACAGAGGAGCCTAGCGGGCTGCAGTCCATGGGGTCCGCAAAGAGATGAACACAACTGAGTGACTAAGCACACAGCCAGGTACATACACATCAGTCAGTGTCCCAAATTACCAATCATATACATTCTCAAGATACTTGTCTTGGGTCTGATGTGATTTCAAGGTACTTGGGCATGGAGCATGGCAGAAAGAGAGAGCCCCAGAAGAAATTCCTACCTGTTCCCCTGTCTCCCTAAAGCTCCCACGCTTTAGACAACTGAGCCAAATATTCAACTAATTTCATGTATTAACTGTCCCATCTAAACCCTTATATCAACACTCTAAATCACACCTGGCTCATAGTAAATAATATAGCCCCTTGCCTGGGTCAATATTTGAGTAGACAAATGCAGAGGTCTTGAACTTAAAATGCTCAAACCCTAGCTCTCTGGAGGACTTGGACTTACAGAGGAATAGCTCCCCTTGCTGCCATTACTGTCTCATGTCATCCAGCAAAACAAATTTAATAGAGGTGACGGTGGGTGAGTTATTCTGACTTAATAGCAGACAATTAACCTTTGATGATTTTGACTGATACAACTGAAGCATTTACCCCAATGCTCAATCTAGTATCCAGACTAATGTGTAGATATCTACCACTTATCAATTTGAATCTAATAACCTTTTTCAGAATATTAATTTTTTAACAACCCCCAAAGCTTATTAGAAAATCTTTAGACTCCAGAGTTCTCAATGATACTGCCAAGGTTTCTCCATAAAAATATCTAAAATGAGAAAAATACTTTTATATGGCCTATCTCCATGGAATATCTACTTGAAGTAAAACAGAAAATAACTACTTGTATTTATTTGCAATTACCCTTTTATAATGTTCAACAACCACCCCTGAGATAAAGCAAAGGAGACTTCCATACATGTCTTTCTGAGGGAGTCCAACATTATTGATCATTAAATAACCAGCCCATCATTGCTTATTTGCACCCAAGAGATAGATTATTTCCTCTTAAACTGATTTTGACCCTCATGTTAGTGCCCCTGGGTGTGCATTAAATAAGAACAATAAAATTATAAGGTAGATTAAATGAGTTTTTTTCCCCAAGTCCTTATTAACCTCTCGTGATACAAAGGGGTAACACAATGAATGCCTAAACTCCTACAAGGTGCCAAGCATGGTATAGGCACTCTGTATACATAATTTAATATTCATGACAAGCCCATGGGATAGATATAACTTCCCCCATTTTACAAATGAGAAAACAGGCCTAGAAGTGCTTACTCAAGGTTAGACTTCTTTACAGAAGAAAACAGGACCTAAACTTAGTCTGTTGGACTCCAAGGACAAACACTAAAAATGCCAGACCTTTTTTTTTTCTTTTTTGGCATCGAAGTAGAATGGCAAATAACTGACTCCACAAGACAATCACACAACAGTATGCAAATAGTGCTACCGAAATTAGATGCAGGCCCTGTTGTTACTGCAAACAGAAAGCCAAGATACTCCTTTCTGGATCAACTTTTCTTTTAATAAAACAGTCTTTCATTCAAATGTTTATGAAGCACCACCCTAGTACAAGCACTGTGCTCCACAGCACAGTGGGGAACCTAACAGATATAGTCCCCATGGAGCATCATATTCTAATGAGCTGAAGATGAAACAAACTATTCTTCTCAAACTCTGATAAGTCTTGTTACAGGTTATCAGAAGGCAACTTATAGACTGAACTATCTGCAAAGAGGGCTTCCCTGGGGGCTCAGACGTTAAAGAATCTGTCTGCAATGCAGGAGACCTGGGTTTGATCCCTGGGTCAGGAAGATCCCTTGCAGAAGGCAATTCTTGCCTGAAGAATTCCATGGACAGAGAGCATGGAAAGGCTATGGTTTTTCTAGTCTTCATATATGGATGCAAGAGCTGGACCATAAAGAAGGCTGAGTGCCAAAAAATTGATGCCTTCAAACTGCGGTGCTGGAGAAGACTCCTAAGAGTCCCATGGACAGAAAGGAGATCAATCAGTCCATCCTAAAGGAAATCAACCCTGAACTTTCATTGGAAGGACTGATGCTGAAGCTGAAACTCTAATACTTTAGCCACCTGATGCAAAGAGCTGATTCATGGGAATGACTCTGATGCTGGGAAAGACTGAAGGCAGGATGAGAAGGGGACGACAGAAGATGAGATGGTTGAATGGTATCATTGACTCAATGGGCATGAATTTGAGCAAACTCCTGGAGATACTGAAAAACAGGGAAGCCTGGCATGCTGCAGTCCATGGGGTCGCAAAGAGACAGACATGAATGAGCAACCGGACAACAGCAACATCTGGAAAGACTTCTCAAGGAAAAGATAAGAATTAAGGTAAGTCCTAGAAATGAGAAAAGTTGAGTCAGGTAAAGAGTGGACAGCAGTGTTCTAGGCAGAGAAAACAGGGAAAAGATGCTAAGGTAAGGAACAGTTGGATACATCAAAGAGCTGGAAGTGAGTCAAAATGGCTGGAGAGAAAGCAAAAGAGAGAGAATGAGGGAAAGATAAAGCTAGAGAGATGAGTCAAGGCTAGGTCATGTCCAGCCACGTAGGACTGGAGTAAATACTTTTCCTTTGCTCTAAAGTGTAATGAGAAACCAGTGAAGGCTTGTAAGTATGAGATGACATAATCAGGTTATGTTTTACAAAGATTATCATGGGTGCTTTATGGACAACTGATTAGAAACAGCACAAATGGAAACTCTCCCAGTTGGGAGTAGTTCAAATGAACGGCAGAAGCCAGGGCAGTACTTCAAATGAATGGCAGTAGGCTGGGACAAGGCAGGTGAGATCTGGACTGAAGCAGGTAGATAGATGTCAGAAATAGTATGTGAAGTTGACTGGAGAGGGCCGAGGGAGGATGTTGAGTGTTAATACCTGGTTTCTACCTTGAGTCACTAGGTGAACGGTGGTCTGTTTAAGAGGGGCATACTGCAAAGGTGGCACGGATCTGGAGGAGGCGGTGAAGAGTAAGATTTCTAAATGGCCCTAACTGGTTAGGTATATGATAGCTAGGAAACATCCAAGGGACCACTCAAGCAGTCAGGTAGATATACAATTCTGGAGGTCAGAAGAAAGGTCTGCATCTTTCTGAATGAGAAGAGTCCTAAGTCTTTTTGAACCTGATAACTAGTTAACATCAGCACCCATACATAAAAACATGCACTCGCTAATCATTCACCAAGCATTTAAAATCACCCCTTATACAGGTCAAGCCTCTGAGCAGTTCAGGTATACATTACCCAGCTTAATAAATCTACAAGGACCATAAGGAAGCAGCTCCATTTAAAATCAGACCCTCCACAGAGACCTGGTTAAAGTTCAGGGATGTTGTGATTAGCTGGCAAGAACTTCCCTTAGACTTTTTGAGAATGCATTCATTCTTTTGAACTATATAGGGCAGGCCTTGGGAGTCCAAGCTAAATGTTTGTGCAGGTAACTCCCGAGAGCCCAAGCTATTTTCCGAGGAACCTGATGTGAAGAGTCCACTCATTAGAAAAGACCCTGATGCTGGGAAAAATCAAGGGCAGGAAGAGAAGGGGACAACAGAGGACGAGATGGTTGGATGACTTGGTTGGATGAGATGGTCAGCGACTCAATGGATGTGAGTTTGGCAAACTCTGGGAGACAGAGAAGGACAGGGAGGCCTGGTGTGCTGCAGTTCATGGGGTTGCAAAGAGTCTTAACACAACTTAGCCACTGAACAACACTGGCTGTCTCCCCAGGCTCCACTACTGCCTGTATAAAAATGGATTGCCCTTCTACTCAACAGAAAATGTACAACTTCCAAGTGGTCCTAAGCCCTGTGACAACTCAATCTCTTATATACTTAGTGATATCTCAACACAGGGCACTCCTTCGCTCCATGGATTCACCCTATACGTATGTCCTAGGCTTTGACCACGCGCCAGTGTACCTGCCCTGCAGGCACAGGAGGAAATTCAATCATGAAGCTGCTGTGCTCAAGTACATGCCAAAGGTCCACTGAAGACATACGATCAGTTCAGTTCAGTTGCTCAGTCATGTCCGACTCTTTGCAACCCCATGGACTGCAGCACGCCAGGCATCCCTGTCCATCACCAAGACAT